AGCATTAGTATTCACCTTTACCTAGCACCCATGGTTTTCAAAACGGACTTAGTTCATAGTTTTAGGAAAGTTATTAAAAACAAATGAACACATGTCTAATAAATTAGGAACATTGACATAGTTTAGACAACTTACTCTAAAATATTCTTAATTAAATTCTAAATCTAAGAAATAATAAAATAAAATAAAAAATAAAAATTACAAATCTTGTCCTACACCAACAACTAATCAAGATTTGCCACTAGAGCATTCAACCACGTCCCACATTGACTTTGTTTGTAGTATAGTCGTACAAAAACCAATTGATTGGACAGATTCATATCCAGAGAACAAACTTCAATTATGCGAGAATAAGACAAAGAGACTCCTAATGAAACCTAAGGAGATAACTAATTTGGAGTTAGATAATTAATCATAAAAAAATATTACCCTAATCAAATTTTAGATGATTTGGGAAAGTGGACGTCGCAACGAACGGTGGAAGAACATAAACCGAGATGCAGGGGTATCTCGAGTAAATATTGGGTGTAACACTAACATCACGTCATTATTATTACGTGATGTCATCATTCAATAATTTATCTATACTATTTATAAATGTCAGCATTCGTGAAAAATTTTTAATTTTTGATTTTTGATTTTATCTCTAATTATTATAAAAAGGTCAATTATATCCTCTTATATATTTTTATTTTCATATTTAACTTTCAATTTGTTTTGAACTATTTTATAAAAATTTTAAAATTCTTTTGAACTCATTTATTAGTAATGTAATTATATATAATTATCTATATCTATATGATCTATAGTCAAATATATGTTATATTTTATTTTTTAGTATGTAATAAAATAATAATATTATAAGAGCGATCTAATCAATCTATTTAACAAAATAAAATTTATTAATTCTATAATATAATTAGATGTGCAAATATTTAAAAGGGTCTAATAGATACCTAAATAAATAACAGATTACTTGCTTAAAAAATTATAGAATAAATTAATAATTAATTTAGTAATAATTAAAATATGAATTAATTATTTGAAACCTAATTTATTATTTAATTTAATTACATATATAATTTAGATTTTTTATAAAAAAAATATTATTTAAATTTATTTATGTGCAATGCACGAATAAACTTAAACATAGACAAGATGAACCCTAGTAGTTATTTTTAGGAGCAATATTATTGAAACCTAATTTATTAACCTAATTCACTATAGCCTATATAGTAATCGTGGATTTCATCGAATATTGAAACTTGGTGTTAACCTAATGATTCTATTGAAACTATATCATTATGTCAATAAATCAAAATTTTAAATCCACTTGATGCGTTCTTATTGTATGATAACACCACCATAGATATAATTAAAAATCTTTAAAAAAGAAAAAATAAGATTAAACGGGTGGGGCCAAAATTAAATAATCGTGGCAAATTTCTAAACTAGCGGCTGCTAGAATATTCTAGAGGTGACGTGTGGATTGTCCAAAGGTGGAGATTAATTAGCCTCCAAGCCACCAACAACCTGTATTGACCCGCAAAATATACTTTTCTATATTTGACCAATTCCGTGACGGAGTTGGCAAAATCCATCTATAAATTGAGCCCTTCCCTTTTCTTCATCTTCCCAATTTCAGATCTCAATTTTCAGCCCTCTTTCTCTTTCTTAGCTTCTTCAAATTCCAGTAATTCTTTGTGATTAAAGATGCAGATCTTCGTGAAAACCCTAACAGGAAAGACGATCACCCTCGAGGTTGAGAGTTCCGATACGATCGACAACGTCAAGGCGAAAATCCAAGATAAGGAAGGAATTCCACCGGACCAGCAGCGGCTGATATTCGCCGGTAAACAACTGGAAGACGGCCGTACTCTAGCCGATTACAACATCCAGAAGGAATCAACTCTTCACCTCGTCCTTCGTCTCCGCGGAGGAATGCAGATCTTCGTTAAAACCCTAACGGGCAAGACGATCACTCTGGAGGTTGAGGGTTCTGATACAATAGACAACGTGAAGGCGAAGATCCAGGACAAGGAAGGGATTCCGCCGGATCAGCAGCGTCTGATCTTTGCTGGAAAACAACTTGAGGACGGTCGAACCCTAGCCGATTACAACATCCAGAAGGAATCGACTCTGCACCTCGTCCTTCGACTTCGCGGTGGAATGCAGATCTTCGTCAAGACTTTGACTGGGAAGACAATCACTCTCGAGGTTGAGAGTTCGGATACAATCGATAACGTCAAGGCGAAGATCCAAGACAAGGAAGGAATTCCACCTGATCAGCAGCGTTTGATCTTCGCCGGCAAGCAATTGGAGGACGGGAGGACTCTCGCCGACTACAATATCCAGAAGGAATCGACTCTTCATCTCGTGCTTCGACTACGTGGTGGGATGCAAATTTTCGTGAAAACCCTAACCGGCAAGACAATTACTCTGGAGGTCGAGAGCTCCGACACTATTGATAACGTCAAGGCAAAAATTCAGGACAAGGAGGGGATTCCACCGGACCAACAGAGGCTGATCTTTGCTGGTAAGCAATTGGAAGATGGAAGGACTTTGGCGGATTATAATATCCAGAAGGAGTCGACTCTGCACTTGGTGCTGCGATTGAGGGGAGGAATGCAGATTTTTGTGAAGACCTTGACTGGAAAAACTATCACTTTGGAGGTGGAGAGCTCTGATACGATTGATAACGTGAAGGCAAAGATTCAGGACAAGGAGGGTATTCCTCCGGATCAGCAGAGGCTTATCTTCGCTGGGAAGCAGCTTGAGGATGGGCGTACTCTTGCTGATTACAATATCCAGAAGGAGTCTACTCTGCACCTTGTCCTTCGCCTTCGTGGTGGTGATTTCTGAATTTCTTCATGTCTTTAGTGGTTTGGTTGTGCTCTCTTCAGTAGGAATATCAAACAACTCCTCTGTTTTCTTTTGAAGCTTATACTAGTACTAAAGTGTCTGTCTATCTTGTATCAATCCTTTTCGCTTTTTTCTTTAATAGAATGATGAATTTTGCTTTATTAAATGCCTTGGACTCGGAATGGTGTGCATATCTTTGGCTTTTACAGCGTTTGCTTGCAAAATTTCTATGACGAGTTTATAGTGTAGAGCATTGCTACCATCGTATATGACATCAAGGAAAAACAACCGCAACAACAACAAAAAGGATTAATGATGGATACTAATTAGTTGTAATACCTCGCTGCAGCATAACCAAGGATGCCAATTTTCTTTGTGGACATGGGGTATTCAGTGGTGGATCGATGCATCGCCCTTGGCTCCATAAATACTTATGACAAAAATTTTAAACAGAAAACCAAAAAATCAAAATCAACCATAAATACAAACAATTAATCACAAAAATCAACTCAAAAAAGTTGTGTGATTGTGAATCAGTATCTATGTTTTTTATTTTTTATTTTTTTATTTTGGCAGTTTTTCTTGTTTTCTTTATCTGGTTACATACAATTGTCTAGCAAAAATATTCATTATAGTTGCTTTATTCCGCCTCCAATTGCTTACAAGGTTAGTGGGTATTGGAACTTTACTTTATTCATGGAGAAAATTTATAAAAATTAAATATTTGATTCTTGAATTTTTAGATTGTTTGGTGCTAAAGATTGAGTTATTACAATTAAAAAAGGAGACAAAATTATAGTGTTGCAATGACATCG